TATAGAACCTAAGGTTTATGCAGGGTTTGGGGGGTTTGGGGGGGTCATGGGGTGGGTCTTGAACTCTGGGCCTGGGCACTGTCCCTGAACTTTTCAACTCAAGGCTATTGCTCTGCCACTTGAGCCACACCTCCACTTATAGCTTTTGCTAGTTAATTGGAGTTGCGTCTTAGGGAACGTTCCTTTCCTGGCTGGCTTTGAACTGCAATGCTCAGCTCTCAGCCTCCTGAGTAGTTAGGATGACAGGCGAGAGCCACCAGCCCCACCCTCCCTCTTTCTCAGGAGTTTCAGTGTTGAGTGTGCGGGCCCAGTGACCAGGAGCATATTGGATGGAGGTAGCTGTACCCACACTCTCCTGTGTTCTAGGAAAAGGTTTAAAAAAAGAGGCTAGCAAATTGGGAACTATTCAGGGTCTGGCTGAATGCTTAGGCAATTTCTCTCGCAATTGCACCAGTGTGAAAGCAGAAGCGAGAGGAAGCTGTACCTGAAGCTTACTCTCTCCTGTGGTCAAACAGTAGACTTGCGAATAAAACAAGCTTTAGGAGGAGACAGTGTAAGACTGGGTTAGCAATCCCCAGCGATGTAATAGGTTGGGAGTTTTGTGGAATAAAATGGTATATTCTAGAGTTAAGTGAGAATGTGGTTCTACATAAACCAAAAGTTCCATCCCACCGCTCAATGCTGAGCACAGTCCCCCGTTGCCACCACCAGAGCTACAAGATCAACCTGCCCCCACAACCTGTCATTTCACTGGATTAGACTTCGCTCAATCAACAATGTTACAGTAGCATTTCTAGAAATTTCTCAGCCAGTGACTCACACTTGTCATCCTAACTACTCAGGAGGCTGAGATCTGAGGATTACAGTTCAAAGCCAGCCAGGGCAGGAAAGTCCAAGACTCCAAAATTAACCACCAAAAAGCCTGCAGTGAAGGTATGGCTCAAGCAGTAAAGTGCCAATCTTGAGGGGGAAAAAAAAAGCACAGGGAACAATGCCTGGGCCCTGAGTTCAAGCCCCAGTACCAACAGCAAAAAAAAAAAAAAAACAAGATCATGAATACTAGATCAGATTGATTTCATTCAGAACCTCATTCATTTGAGTTCAACCCAGCTGTGATGCAGGACAAAAGATTTTACATTGCAATCAGGTTCCTGGATGGAAGGAGGTCACGGCAAGGCTCATGTAGCCCAATAATGAGTGAGAATGAAGAAGCAGGTTTTGACTTGTCTAGAAAGTCGCTCGTCTTGCTCAAGCACTCTGGCTAAGTCTTGTACAAGACACACATTTCTGGTTCTAAGAAAATGCTGAACCATTTCTGTGTAAAACTGGATACCAGGCAGGTACCAGTAGCTCACATCTGTAATTCCAGCTATGCAGGAGGCTGAGATCTGAGGATGACAAATCAAAGTCAGCCTGGGCAGGACTATCTGTGAGACTCTTATCTCCAATGAACCGCCAAAAAGCTGAAAGTGGAGGTGTGGCTGAAGGGCTAGAGCATCAGCCTTGAAAAACGCTAAGAGAAAGCACTCAGGCCCTGAGTTCAAGCCTCAGTACTTGCACCAAAAACAGGAAGAAAAAAAGAACTGAGGGTAATGATGTTAAGATTTTCCATACAAGAAAAAACAATGGTTTTTCAATGTCTTAGAAGCACACGCTCCCTTCTCCCAGATCCAAGCTGACAAGTGTGGGCCAGGCCAGGCAGGGGCAGGTGCATCTGAGGACTCTGGGAGGAATTGTGCAGGATTCTCTCCTTGGACACCTGAGGGGCCCTTAGCATTGTCACTATGTGAATGGGCTCCATGTCCTCCACAAGCAACAGCAGCAATATCTGCCTCTCTGTCTCTCTGGCTCAGTCTCCACTCTCTCTCCTTCATAACTTCCCACATAGCAGCAATCAGCAAAGTCCTTGGCCTTCCATTCTGTGTCACTAAACTCCATGAGGATTAACTCACTTTGCAACTGGCTGACATTTTTCTGGAAGGTCTTTTTTTCCCTTTTTGTTTCCCACGTGACCGTGTTTAGGTGAAGTCTGGCTGAGTGGCTTTTGTCAATGCAGTGACAAAATGAAGACGGATTTTGGAAACCAGCGCTTCTTCATACCACCACCCCACAGCAGTGCCAGAGTTTGCCATTGGATTGATCCATTGATTTGAGTCACAGGGCCCCGGGGCTTAGAACTTGAGGTTGAACTTGATCTTGAAGGGGTAAAGGCCAGAGACCCATCCATGTCTCCCAGAGACTTGAAGGAAAGGGGAAAGAGACAGTCCTGGAATAAAGAAGCCCACTTTCATTCTCATTGCTTTTATTTTGTTTTGTGCAGGTCCTAGAGCTTGGACTCAGGGCTTTTTGGCTCAAGGCTGGTGCTCTACCACTTGAGCCATAGCTCCACTTCTGGCTTTTTGCTGGTTCATTGGAGATAAAGAGTCTCGTGGATTTTTTTCTACTCTGGCTGGCTTTCAACTGTGAGCCTCAAGATCTCAATCCACTGAGTAGCTAGGATGACAGGCATGAGCTACCGTGCCCAGCTGGTTCTCTAGCTGAACAAAAAGCACTCTGTTCAACATTCACTTTAAATTCTTAGAAAAAGAAGCTTTGGAATAGAATCTTGTCTTAGTTTTTAAGCCATGAGCCCCCAAGGTGTTGAAGAGAGGAGGAGGAGGAGGAGAAAGAGGAGGAGGAGAAGGAGGAAGGGGAGGAGGAGGAGGGGGAGGAGGAGGAGGAGGAGGAGGAGTCGTCGTCTTTGTCGTCTGCACATGCGTCTGCACATGCGCCAGGCAGGGCCTTTGATCTACCTTGTGCTGCCCACAGCCTAGCCTGCAGCCACCGCGTCACCCATGCTTCCAGGCAATGCATGAGAGAGGCAAACACAGAATGTCACTTTTTTTGGGGGGGGGAGGGGAGATGAGAAGGGGGAAGGCCAGTCCTGGGGCTTGAACTCAGGCCTGGGCACTGTCCCTGAGCTCTTCAGCTCAAGGCTAGCACTCTACCACTTGAGCCACAGCACCACTTTCAGCTTTTTTTTTTTTTAATGACTCATTGAAGTCTCATGAACTTTCCTGCCTGAGCTGGCTTTGAACTGTGATTCTCAGATCTCAACCTCCTGAGTAGCTAGGATGACAGGTGTGCACCACCAGCGCCTGGCTAAAGAATGTTTTTTTTTTTTTTTCATGCAATTTGTCCGTGCTTTCCAGTGCTGGGATTCTCAGAGCTGTGGATAAGTGGTTTTCTCCCATCTCCTCCTCCTTCCCCCTCTGCCATTACTGGGGTTTTGAATTCAGAGCCTGGGCACTGGCCCTGAGTTGTTGGGGAGGTGGGTTGTTTGGGTTTTTGTTTTGCTCAAGACTGTGACTCTACCATAAGAGCCACAACTCCATTTCTGGACTTTTTGTGGTAGTTCACTGGAGATAGGAGTCCCACAAACATTGTCTGCCTGGGCTGGCTTTGAACCACAATCCTCCTATCTCAGCCTCCTGAGTAGCTAGGATGACAGATGTGAGCCATTAACACCACACTGTCCTTTTCCATTCTGTTTTGTGATGAGACATGCCTGAAACGCACTCAGCACAGGGCCCTGAGACCCGAGGGGGCCAAGGGAGGCCACAGCAGTGCTAGCCCTCAGGAGGGGCTGCCGCCCTAGCCATGTCCTCACCGTGGGTCTGGGCCTCCCTGGCCTTCCTGAGCCTCTGAGCATCAGGTTGTATTGTTTGGCAACACAAAAGCATGGAAGAGCTGCCTTGGGCCTTAGGCCAGGCTGTGCTCTATACAGGATAAGCTAGCAGAGTGGCCGGCATCCCTAGGTCCAGTCCAGTGCCACGGTCCAGGCTGCCTCCAGCACCCTGGCTGGTGGTGCGCATGCACCACCTGCAGTACTGTGCCAGCTGGCACCCTGGCATCTTCATCGACCACACACAGGGTGACTTGCGGACAATGGAAATTGACTTCTGGTCGTGCTAGGAAGTCAGAGGTGAACTGGGGGTCTGGTCTGGGCGTGCGTACCGGGCTACAGAGCGCCTTCCTGCCATGTTCTCCCGCGAGAGGGGCCAGGGCTGCTCCAGGGTCTGTGTAAGCTTTGGAATTGTTTTAAATTATCTTTCAGGGCCGCTGTGCACAGGGTTTCAATTCAGCATGAGTTGATGAGCACAGAGCATCTCACTCTACCGTCGGCTCTTCCCCAAGTCACAGGGCTCCATCTTCACACATGCACATAGACTATGACCATCGCTCTGCCCCTCCTCTCTTCTGCCTCCCTCCCGTCATTCACACTGCTCATTCACCAGTCGATGACAGTGTGTTACACGCACACGGCCTTGTATGTCCTCGCAATTTATTTAGATCTGACCTCAACATGAAAGAAACACGTGCCTTTGTCTCTCAGCCTGACATATATCACATTAAAATTTTCCCAGATCCACCCATTTGCCAGCAAATGGCGTTATTTTTCCAGATGGATGATCAGGTACATGTGTACATATGAAACAATATATATAAAAACCAAGGTAGACATCGCTGAGTATCCACACTTAGTTTTTATTAGCCACCAATACAAGGAGACACATCTAAGCCAGGAAGGCCAGACCCTGGTCCCTGCGTGGCTCACTGGGCTGCTCCTGGGGAGGGCCTGGTTCCCATAGCAACCGAGTCCAGTGGGAGGAGCTCCATGCTTCCCTACCTGCCCCAATGCTCCACATCCTGGAGCAGAGGAGGAATCCATGTGGCCCTGGGACCCCAAGGATCTGTTCTTCCTACCACCCAGGCCACTGGCCTCCCCATGGCTACTCCTCTGCCGACTGCTAATATTTCCGTGTGTGTGTGTGTGTGTGTGTGCACACGCACGTGTGCATGCCATGTGCACACCTATACTGGGGCTTGAACGCAGGGCCTCATGCTCTTGCTTGGCTTTTTTTAAATCAAGGCAGGGGCTATACCACTTGAGCCACACCTCCACTTCTGGCTTTTTGCTGGGTAATTGGGAGATAAGAGTCTCATGGACTTTTCTGCAGGGGCTGGCTTTGAATGGTGATCCTCAGATCTCAGCTGAGTGGCTGGGATTACAGGTGTGAGTTCCAGCCCCAGCTTACGGCTGTCTTTGTGGTCGATGTTGCAGACACAATGTAATCAGATGCCTGAAGGCGAGTGGGGTGCAGGGGCCAGACGTGTGTGTGGACTGCCAGTGCTCTTCTGGCAGCTGTGTATGTACTGGGTCACACACCAGCCCTGGCGGTGGGAGGATGCAGGGCACAGGGGCTCTGGCACAGAGCCACCAGCTACGAATGGACTGCCTTGTGGATGGGTCGTTTTTCTGTGAAGAAACTTTTGAGCAGCAGGACCTGACTGAAGCTGACCACAAACAGGGCAATGGTCTCGCCGACTGACCAGTAAGAGACGCGGCTGTTCAGGTCCTCAGCCCGGGCCCGGTCCTGGGCCTCCCGCAGGCGGTAATGGGTCTGGGAGTCGATAACCGTCTTCAGGGCCTCGTGAATGGTGACACACGCTGACTCCATCTGTACGGGGGACAGGCGCAGTCACAGTGCTCAGAGACAGGCAGGGCAGAGCCCAGCAAGCCACCCACGTGCTGGTCCCATCCTGCAGGTGCTACCTGGGACACCCTACTAATGCAGCACCTGCTCTGATTTAATCCTTGAGGTAACCATGCAAAAGGAAGGGCGAAACACTGGCTTAACCACACAGGAAGGAGGACAGAGATTCCGAAATGGACTCAAAGCCTGGGGCCTGTCATCCTAGCTACTCAAGAGGCTGAGTTCTGAAGATGGAGGTTTGAAATCAGCCCAGGCAAGGAAGTCTGTGAGACTCTTACCTCCAATGAACCACCAGAAAACTAGAAGCAGAGCTGTGGCTCAAAGTAGTAGAACACTAGCATTGAGCAAGAGTTCAGGGACAGCACCCAGGCCCCGAGTTCAAGCCCCATCACACACACACACACACACAGGCCCCGAGTTCAAGCCCCATCACACACACACACACACACACACACACACACACACACACACACACACACACACACGGACAAGTAATCGCAAGAACCAATTTTCCTGACATCAGAAAACTGATCTCCAAGGGGACCTTCACATGCCAGTTTGTGGTGCCCAGTACCAGGACAGACCACTCCACACAAACCTCTGGGGCCAGGCACCATGGTGGCAGTTACAGGCTTGTTCCTCCTTTGCCTTGGTGACGCTTCCAGAGTGGACCTGACAGCCACGTCCACTGTTTAGGTGGACTGGGTGAAGTAGCCTGGTAGGGAACCAAGAACCTAACTACACTAACCCGCGTCCAAACTGACCCAGCCGCACTGCTAAAACTGCCCCGTATTCCTTCCCAGGTGTAGCCAGGACTCAGAGAGTGTGCCAGGTCCACTCAGCTCTGTCCCTACAGCAACCAGGAGACCTGCGGCAGCTCACAGATACTAAAGGTAGGAATGAGGGACTCAGAAACCTTTTAAAATTAGGTTATGGGGATTCCAAAGCATGCTTTGGGGTTTTTTTATAGCTCAAATAGCCACTAGCTCATTCTCCAAACTCACTCTTTCCTACCTTCTTTCCTTTCCTCCCTCTTTCTCCCTTATTTTTTAATGCTGGTACTGGGGCTTGAACTCAGAGCCAGGGCACTGTCCTTAGCTTTTTTGCTCAAGGCTGGTGCTCTGCCACTTGAGCAACAGCTCCACTTCTGGCTTTTGGGTGGTTATTGGAGGTGAGAGTTGCCTGAACTTTCCTGCCCCTGGCTAGCTTTGAACTGTGCATGATCCTCAGATCTCAGCCTCTAAGAAGCTAGGATTGCAGGTGTGAGCCACCAGTGCCTGGTGCCTGGCTCAAGAATGCCTTTATGGAAGATGGGCAGAAACAAAGATGTTCGGAAAGGCAGGAGAAGGAAACCTAAGCTCTTCCTCCCCACAAGAGAACCAAACTCCAACGTGCAGGCAGGATTTGGGAAACAGCACTACTGACCTAGTTCCTTGGGCTTTTTCCTGACCGATCCCCACACTGGTTCAAGGAAGTCCTTGGGGTCAAGCTTGCAAAATGTTATCGCACTGAGGCACTGTTTCATTAGCCCAAAAGAACTCTCCAGAGTTACAAAAGATCTTATATACAAACCCCACCCTCTGCTCAACCTGCTAAGGGCAATCAGCCAGGGCCCTGCAGTGCAGACTCCCAGAGTGGCCTTCTGCCACCAGGGCCTCTACCAGGCACAATGTGTTCATACAACGCAAACAGGGAAGTGAATTGCTGACTTAAGTTTGTATGTGTATATGTATCAGTACTGAGGCTTGAACTTGGCATCTTTTTTTGATGCCAGTCCTGGGGCTTGAACTCAAGGCCTAGGTACTACCCCTGAGCTTTTTCACTCCAGGCTGGAACTCTAGCACTGGAGCCACAGCTGTACTTCCAACTTTTTTTTTTTGGTGGTTCATCAGAGATAAAGTCTCACAGACTTTCCTGCCCAGGTTGGCTTCGATCCTCAGATCTCAGCCTCCTGGGATGATAGGCATGAGCCACTGGCACATGGCTCCCTTAATTTTAATGGACACGAATAGACAAGTGTAGCTGGTGTGTAAGTTATCAACAATGCAGCCGCATCCTGACTGCTCAGGATGGAGGGTAGGGTGGCTGTCAGGATCTCCTGACACCCCAAACCACAGAGCACAGAGCAGAGCACGTGGCCACCTTGGAGGGCAGCCAGGAGGGAACCTGCCCCCCACCCTGACACTCAAGACGCTGCCACTCAAGACGCTGCCACTCTGGTTTGGAACAAGTGCAGGCAGAGATGGTTGCTCCTGTCTTTCAAGTTTCTCTGGGAGGAGAACCAGGTCCTATGACAAACACTGCTGCATGTGGAAGGAAGTGCGAGCTTGAGAGGTGGGAGGGCAGACTGGAACAGGAGTCCAATCTTGTGAGACTGGGAACATAGCTCAAGTGGCAGAGCTCTTGCCTTGCAAACACAAGGCCCCAAGGTCAAATCCTAGTATTGCCAAAACTGAAATGAATGAACTATGAAAAAGGTGACTGTCCTACAAAATATGTCCACCCAGGACTGGCCCTGCCAGCCCTCAGTTCACCCAGATCTGCCACGTGACAACAGCTCACTAAGGGACTGTGAGCAGAACTGGCATGTGACTACGGCCCGGCAGTGTTAAGAAGTAGATGGGCCTTTCTCACATTTGCTTGTGTGTGCACCAGTACTGAGACTTGAACTCAGGACCTCATGCTCTTGCTTGGCTTTTCCACTCAAGGCTGGTTCTCTACTACTTGAGCTATAGCTTCACTTCCACCTTTTTTGCTGGTTAACTAGAGATAAGAGTCTCATGGATTTGTCCACTTGAGCTGGCTTTGAATGGCAATCCTCAGATCTCAGCCTCCAAAATTGCTGAGATGACAAAAGTGAGCCATTGGTACTAGGCTAATACCTTTCAAAGAGATGCTGTGACAAGGAAAGTAGAGGCTGGAATGCGGGATACTGCAGGGGGCAGGGTGAAGAAAAAGAAAGATGGAAGTAGATGGTGACCCTGCTCATTTGCTGATACAGAGGCAAGAAAAAAACTAGGTGGGGGGGCTACACACTGAGGTAGCCAGGGAGGCTCTCCACTCACCTGGGTGAGCGCGGTAACCTTGCTCCCCATGTCTGGGAGAATGGGGGGCTCATCCCCCACCTGAAAGTCGAAGTAGACGGTCTTGTGGGAGAAGGTGGAAAACTCATTACTGAAGCAAAACTGATAAACGCCCTTGATCTCGGTCCGGTACGTGAAGCTGTCGTACTGTTTCTTGGTCTCCCGGTAGAGAATGTTCCCTGCAGGGTCCTCCACGTAGCAATCCACATCGTAGTGGCCTCCAGTGATGACCTACCGGGGAACACACAGAACGTCCTGTCACCACAGGCAATGACATGCGCAACACGCTCAGCACGCAACACGCTCAGCACACGCCGTGGCCTGAGCCCCTAATACTCCTGCCCTGCAAGCTTCCACAACCTCCCAGGGCAGGGATACTGTCCACTTCGCTGGGCCTGAGCAGAGTCCAGGCCACAGCCACCCTGTGTGAAAGTGCCAGGGCTGAGATTTGAGTCCCTATGGGCTTGACTCCAGTTTTCACACACATTTTATAGCAGCGGAAACTGAGGTACCAGAGTTAAGAAAGTTGCCTAAGATAGTGAGGCCGACTTCACCTGAGGGTTGTTAGCTCCATTTTGCAAATAACTGGTTGCTCCGGGCTTGCTGAATAGGTCTAGTGACATTTAGTAAGGTTGGCAATCACTAGACACAAAAATGGCAGCATTCAGTAAAATTAGCCATGACTGGATAGTAGCACTTAGTAAAGTTAGCAATGATTGGATGCAAAAATAGTAGCAGTAAAGTCAGCAGTGATTATATTCAAAAGGAGGCACATATATATTGAGGTACTAGGAAGTGGCGCTGTGGCTCAAGTGGTAGAGCACTTGCCTTGAGCTGAAGAGCTCAGGGTCAGCGCCCAGGCCCAGAGTTCAAGCACCATAACCGACCAAAACAAAACAAAAAAGGTACTCACAGGGACTGATCAGGAATCATTCAGCCCCAACTCTAACAAGGAAAGTTAGATGACAGAGGGTAGAAATCACACCTGTGGTCAATGGCTGTGACCACGAACAAGTCAATGAAAGGACTAAAGGATACAGTTGTTGGGTACCGGTGGCTCACACTGACAATCCTACCTACTCAAAAGAGGCTGAGAGGTGAGGATCTTGGTTTAAAAACAGCCCCAACAGCAAAGTCCATGAGACTCTCATCTCCAATTAACCAACACAAAAACAGAAGTGGAGTTGGGGTTCGAGTGGTAAAGTCATCCTTGAACAGAGAAGCTAAGGGACAGCATCCAAGTCCTGAGTGAAAAGCCTCAGTATGTGTGTACTAGAGAGACAGACAGACAGAGACAGAGAGAGAGAGTGTTAATGCAGTTAACTGCTTCCAAACTTTGTGGAAAGCAGCAGGCAGGCATCTTGCTTGCTGCTGGGATGTTTAAAGCCGCAGTGGACAGCCCTGGCACAGGATGGTGGCAGTAACCACTGCCTCTCAGGCCCTCCAACCACATAATTATCACTGTTTCCTTACGGTGTTTCAGTTACCTGTGTTAACGCAGACACATGCACAATCTCCATGCTGTCCACACAGGTCACAAACCTGTATCTCTATTTCCCACGGAGCTGTTTCTGGGCACAAGCCTCCTTCTGCACCTCTCATGATGGAGGGGCCCATTGAGACAAGGTGTGCTCCAATGGCCCTCCAACCCCAGATCTGCCTGGGACCCACCCCAGACCTGAGTGCTGCTCCCAGCAACTGTGAGCCATGGGCACTGACCACGGAGAGGTTAGACGGGAGGCCAGGAGCTGGCTTTAGTGCACCATATGGCAAAAATCAAGTCTCACGGAAGCCGAGCTGTGTGGCTTGAGTGGTAGCTAACCTGAAGCACACAAACCTCAGGGACAGCGCCCAGGCCCCGAGTTCAAGCTGCAGGACCACAAAAAACAACCAAGTGTCTTCAGCACACCACCTGGGGGGCGGGTGGCCGGGTCTCAACAGACTGCACCGCCATCGAGAGCGCCTTTGCCACCCCAAATCCCACTCAAAACGTGGGGTTTGTAAAAGGAGGGGCGGGGAACAGCCGCAGTGGAGCCCCTGCGGGGCGGACATGCCGGGAGCGGG